TATACAGGGGAGAAAACCACACAGAAATAAGGTCATCGATATAAACATATACTGATATATCCGAAAATATTGCCTATAGATTGCAGTTGCAATATAACAGCTTTACTTTTTCCTGGATTCCTGCTCAAGTAGCCACGTGTTAGTGCCTAGTAGCCTGCTGTCTACTAAAGTGCAAATTTGCACCAAGATGCAAATGAATTCCCAAGACATAAGTTTATACAACTGATAGTCAATTTCATCATTTTGTGTAAATTGCATTTCCTAAAAACAAACCTTTTTAATTTTAAAATCCACCTGTTGTAGCCAGGGTTAAAGTCAAAAATTGCGGGAGCGGGCAGAATGAAGGCGGAGCTTCATGCAATCTCCCTGTCCGTTTAGCTTTATGCTCGAGATGCAATTGTACTTAATCTGATCCTCTCTTCTAAATGGACTATTCTCCCCTCCAAGTTGTGCGTACAACTACAACCCCCACAATGCCCTGGTGTGGGGGAACCCTCTTTGTTACAACGTCAGTGCGTTATTCTGAGAAGCCGGCTGCGGATTTTAAAACTTCCCGCCACTACCTGCTACAAGGTTGCTGTCAGCTCTGTAAAATAGCAAGACCCATTGCACAAGCCTAGAAAAGCGCAGCTGCGGGAATCTCAGGCAGGGGGATGCTGATTATAAACCATTGCTTTCCGCATCTGAGCAGCCCTTTAGCCTGGGAATTATCGAGCTATTGCACGAGTCATACAGCCCCAGAGGATCGGGGAATTTCAGTCTTGTTCCCATGTTCTAAAAATATGGAAGGCGGACGAATAGATAGGAATAGTACCAACACAGTCATAACGCCTTACTTAACACAGTGTTTTACAATTTTATCAAGCAACGAAACAGCGATCGATTTCACTTCTAAGGGAACTCCCCCCCACCCAAAAAAAAAAACCCAACACCGAGCGTGAATTTATTTCCCGTCCAAGAGAGAAACCACGATCTTTTAAGTGAGGGTTTTCGGGAGACTTGTAGCCCTTGAAAAGCTCATATCAATTCTGCGCGTCCAAAGTGAACAAATCCATGCTACCCTAACATCAGCAATAGTTTATCTGACGCATTTCCCTTGTCATCCTTCCATCTTTAGACAGTGAGTGAGCTTGGAGAGTTCCAGATCTCTCAGCTCCAAAGTTGCTAATTACAGCTGTGAATCTCTCCCTTCTCTAGGACAGTTTGAAGTCTGCGCCGCCTAATGGCACAGGATTATCATTGCATAGCCATCTGGCATGACAAGAAGCGGAGGAGGGAAAAAAAGGAAAAAGAACACGGGAAGAACAAAGGCAAATACGGGAGAAAGCCATGGCTTTCGTTCCCCCAAACTGGACGGTTCCCGGAGAAAAGCCGGAGGCTGAGGAGGAAACTAGTGCCTGGAAGTGTGGTTGGGAGAAGTCTTCTCCAATAGGGTAAACGGAGGAGGGGGGTGTGGGGTAGGAAGCGACAGCACAGCGCTATGACTGTTTGTAATTTAGCATGGAGACACCTCTCAAGTGATTCTTACCCTTAAACAAAATAAGTCAAAAGTGAACTACTAGTTGAGTGAGAGACCATCCTCAACCTTACACCAACCGATACCTGCCCTTCCCTTCCCTTCCATTCAGCACATCACAAAATCAAACTAGAAGCCAAAATCCTTTTTTAAAAAAATCTCTGCTGATTAGGAAATATGTATTTCAGTCTCTAATCCCCCTTCTATCTTCCTATTTCACTTACCTTTCTTTTGGGCATTGTTGCAGCTCTCTAGAGGAGATCCTAACAGCAGGAAAAAAGCCGAAAGCAGTCTCTACCCGACAGCTCAGAGAGCAACTGAGTTTTCAATGAATGAACTAATTGCAGCACGACCTGTGCTCGCCTCCAAAAAAAAAAATCCCTCGTTATTGGCAACATTAAACGCACCAGACGCAACCAAACTACATGAATGGTTAGCAGGAGTGGGAGCCAAATTGGAGTGACAGGCTGTCAGGCCAATAAGGAGAGGTGACCATCCCAGGGGGCGTGGCCCACGGACTTGCCCGAAGCCCTCGTACGCTGCCAGCTCCGACCGCTGGTGGGGTAGAGGAGCCCCCAGACTTCGTGGATGCAAAGTGCTGAAGCATAAAACCGGCGGGAAAGCTGGAATTGTCTTGATCGTTTTTTGTTGATGTTTTTTTTTCCTTTTATGTAGTAATGACAGGCGAAAGCCATTGCACTTGCTTTCTCCACGGTCTCTAAAAGCCCCACTTTACTTCCTGGAGACAAAGTGCTTTAGAGACATTATTGAACCTAGGCTCCAGTCTTTCCATTCTACCTTTGGCAGAAGATGTAGATGAACTGAGAGGAGCACTCATTCAGAAAGTAGAAAAGAGTGGAGCTGTTTCTCAGGTTGTGGGAACTTTCCGCCAAAGCAGAATTGTAGTACTGGCAGGATCAGGTGCCAAACGGTGCGTCTCCCGCAGATGGAGAGCAACAAACTGGGAGCTGTAAGAGCAGGAGGAACCTGAAGGTGGGGACATTTGATAGATACCTTTATCCCACTTGGTGGTAGTCCACCAGGAATTCAATGGGACCCCACGTGAGGTTTGTAATACCAGAGGTCTATCCCGAGGGAAAGTGCTGATACAATGGCTTATGAATCCAAAGGTGGCATTTAGTGAAGGGACTAGGGAAGGTGCCATACATGAAAATGTTTGGGACTCAAGAGCCTGGACTCGGATAAAGCAATTAAAGCACTCACCTCTGGTGCAAATTTAAGAATGTGCCCCAGACTCAGGAGATTAGGATGAGGCAATTGAGGTGAATCATGCAAGTGCAGGGCAGGATCTTGATTTTATTTAAAATTGATATTTTGTTCATCATGGACTTTTTTTGCATTAGTTAGGTTTTAAAATAGTGCTTTAAAAATTTATCTTCATTATCGAGTTTTGGGGTGACTCTTATAACTTGTGCCTAAGGAGAGTGCCCCCTAACATCACCCTAGTCCTAGCCATCATTAGGTGGCTTTCTACTCTAAAAGAGGCTTCTATCTGCGTTCCCAAGTTAGTTCCTGAGACCTAAAGTTTGTGAGAGTGGGGGTGAGGATTCGTGAATAGGGTACTTGAGGATATTTATGCGTAAAAATGTAGGATCCTGAAGCACCTTTTCAGAATGCCTTACTTTGGATTTTGTAACAGCTAATTGGGTTTAAACTTGTTTCAACAACAACCGAAATCCCTATGCTGGAAGGTTAATCAAAAAAAGGAAATTAACCCTTTGAACAGTTACTTAAAGGAATAAACTCATTTGTGTTCATGTGGATTAAAACATTGCAATCATCAGTTTTAAAACTATTCATAGCTGTTTTAGAATACCAAACCATCCCTTCAAACTAAAATACAGCCTAACAGAAGAACCCATCATTTTTACCTTTACACATTCTTCCCCAGCACCTACAGTGTGGAATTAAACAGATCAGGTAGTAGAGATTGTTTGAAGCTCAATTTCCCTCCTCCAACCTCATATTACATTCTGATTCAAGTAGGTAAATCAGAAAGACATTTAAATTGCTTCCTTTTCCCACAGTTATTGGGATCATCCCTAGATTCCCTAGATGCTTCTTTAACTCTTATGGTGAAGGCATTACTGAGTGAGACTAGATATGTTTCAATCGTTTTATTTTCCAAGAGTTAGAAAGTAAACATAAAATTTGGGTTCAATATAAGGATTGCTTCATAAGGATAAGGAGAAACATGAAGAGAATGAAAAATGTGTCAACACTGGAACACACTCAACAAATTCGTATTTAGCATTATTTTGTGAGTTGGATTTTGTTTTTATAGACTAGCCTATGAAACTGCAAAACGCTGTGGTCTGCAAAGTTGCATTACATGGTTTCTGCCCTTAAGAATTTTTATAATTGTGTAGGATAAAGCAAGCAGATGCAAACATTTGTAAATCAAGGTTGCTTGCATCATGTGAGTGGTACAATCTAAGTTCAATAATAAAACAGACGAGAACTATGGTTTAGGACTGACATCACTAGAGAAGGTTTTTGTTGAGGAGGTAGTATTTGACTTGGCTCTGAACAGTTGGATAGACTGTTATAGCAAATGCAGAGGCAGGAAAACTTTGTACGTTTTCAGGGAACAGAATGACTAGTCCAGGTGGATTGAAATAAATGATCGTGAGGAGTCTTGGGAGGTAAGGCTTAGTTTGGAGGCAAAGAAGAAACGTGCAGGTCAGTGGGGTCTAAGATTCCTCTTAAGTTTGTGAGCAATTTTCTTTTATGGTACATTTCCCTTCCTTGCAGTCTAACCTGTTGCATCTGTGATTTATGTCCTATCAGATTGAAACAATAGTCATGCATGCATACAAAAATTTTCTAAGGTTGAAACATTTCTCTAATTCCTGACCCCCACCACCATGTTCTTTTTTCCAACCATTAACCAGGATAGTCTTTTGTAGAAACCAACCTGCCCTAGGCTTTTTGCCTTTGCTATATTTTTACCTCTGATTGCAGCCCCATTGTCTTATATCTCTGCTTATCAAATGTCTATCAAACTGTTCAGACCCAAGTCAAATATCACTTCTTTGACAAAAGCCTTATCCAATCATTTCAGCCCTAAAAGATTCTATCTTCTTATTACACTATAGAATTTAGATTGTACCACTCATATGACACAAGCAAGCTTTGATATTTTCTATTTTCTCCCCAACCACTCAGTCATATAACTTCACGTTGGTTTAAAATTTTATATACTTATTTCTCCTTACCTAAATATTTTCTTAGCACATTACACTCTACATATCTCCTATAGAATTTACTAACTTTAAAAACTATTTTTCTAAAATTGATAAATTATTCCTTAAGTAATTTTTTTGTATAATTGTCAAAGTGAGAATTTTTTGGCTCATTAAATAAATACATTGGCTTATTTCTCTCTTTTTTTAAAGTATAATTTCCACTTTATTGTCTTTCCAGGGAATAGTATTTCTTTAGTCTTTAAGGACTTAGCTCCTTACATGGGCTTTGGTGAAGGTTGTGGGGCTGCACCTGCAGGTCTAAATCGGGATGGAGGTGTTCGGTCCTTCCGGGCTTTCCGAGAATGATTCCTGACTACCTTGCTGTGAATGGCACAACTCACGCAGTAATGCAGTTTCACATACAGCTTGGGAAGCACATAGGCGTCGAAAACAATCGCTTCGGAAATGTCCCTAAAGGCTGCAGCCTCTACGATGTTCCGAATGACGAACTTCTTAATAGCCTTAACCTTGGGCACACAACGGGCACAGTTGGTACAACGAATAGGCTGCACGTGGCCGCGGCCCTTTTTGGCACGACCATTGTTCCTTCTTTTCTTGGTCATCTTGGAAGCGAGGAGGCGACAGAGGAGCTATTTCTCTTTTTTAAATTATTTATTCATGACTATGAAGGTTAATTGCTGGATAATTCTCTACAGGGCTCTCTAATTTCTCCTGGGTATTAAGAATGCCTACTGCCATCCTCAAAACTTACAGGAACTGTAGCATGTCTATTTAGTAACCACTGGGAAATGACACAGGAAGATATGAACAATTATAAATGGAAGACACCAACATTAAATTGTTTGAGACAGAGAATCCAAAAGAAAGTAGTAAGTATTTATGAGAAAAGGGATGTTAGGCAGTTAAGGTAAAAGAGGTCATCAAATGTTCTATATATTCTAGCTTAAAATGATATATATGTTGCATAATTCAAAGTATTTCTCCATATACAGCTTTGCATGCAATGGGATCTCAAAAATACTGATTGATTAATAATGAATATCTTCTTTTCCATATTAAATTATGTTTAATTTTGGCCTCATCCATTACCATTATTATTATTATATTTCTAAAAAATGAAAAAAAGTCAGAAAACTACCTACTATTGTTTGAAAATAATGAGGTAAGGCTTCCATTATATAATTAAAATCTGGGTTTTAAATACATTGTCACTTGGTATTTTCACAGGGAAAAATAAATGGTAAGACTACAGTGGGTCAAAATACATAAATATACTTATTTTGAGCCTTATATAAGATTGATCTGAGGAATTTGCTTAGATTGATGACAGCACTTACCTGAGACTCTGGAAAAATTATAATCCTGAAGACCCAAAGCTTCCCATATCCTATGTTTATTCACAGCAGGCTAGAGATTAATAAAATAGTGAATTATTGAGCGATCCCTGATATGAAGGATCTGGAAAGTATGTTTCCAAAGGTAAAAATAAATGAGGCTGCTTTCTAGGGGAAAAAGGAATATAATACAATTTTATGATTTTAATTGCAAAATGTCTACCTATTTTTAAAATAATTATTTGAGGAAATCCTATTTTTAGGCTCTCAGACCTTAAAGCTTAAAGGAGGCTGTTGAAGATTTTTTAGTTTAATCCCCTTGGAATACAGATGAATAAACTGTAGTCCAGGGAGTTAAATGACATGCCCAATATCATCTATTGAATGCACAGCAGGCTTTTTTGGTTTTGTACTAAAAGAATGTATCTATGGTTGTGATATTAACAATTATACAACTTATACAGAAATGTTAGTAACTATGTGGCATATTTGGTAAATATAAATTTTGTTCAATTGCTGGCCATCAGCCTACTTCAGATACTTTTTTTATGCTTATTCACTGGATCCTCCATTCATCTATAATCTTAAACTTGAATTCTCTAGTAATTTTCAATTACCTCAAGAAAATAGAAAACTTAGGGAAGAGAAATTCTACTTTCACGTTTTCTTCTTTTTCCTTTTTGGTCTAAGGTAATTCCAAGGAATGTGGGTTTTTCTCCTAGAACTTGACAAATACTTGCCTATGCTGTCCTCTTTCTTTTGCCAGCAAAGAAGTTTTCAGATAAAATTGTAGATGAGCTTTCTCTTTGACTAAAATTATTCAAAGATTTCCAACTTCCAGTAGGTGTCCTCATTTATTTGAAGAGTTTCAAAGTTTCTCACTTTAGGGATAAAGGCTTCTGGTTCCCTTAAACTTACTAAATTCTTTCTATTGAACTTTTTTTTTAATAAATTTATTTAGTTTTGGCTGTGTTGCGTCTTCGTTGCTGTGCGCGTGCTTTCTCTAGTTGCGGCAAGCGGGAACTACTCTTCATTTTGGTGTGCAGTGGCTTCTCTTGTTGTGGAGCATGGGTTCTAGGCGCACAGGCTTCAGTAGTTGTGATGTGTGGGCTCCAGAGCGCAGGCTCAACAGTTGTGGCACAGGGGCTTAGTTGCTCCACAGCATGTGGGATCTTCCCCATCCAGGGGTCGAACCCATGTCCTCTGCATTGGCAGAAGGACTCTTAACCACTTCCCATCCAGGGAAGTCCTATCTATTGAACTTAATTTGTGGTTTGGTATGGTTAATATCTGTTTTTGCATGAAATATGAAACTTTTAAAATCTTAATTATTTTTAAATATTTTACCATCAGCTTTATATTACAGAAGCATAGATGTTAGTCCATAGCCTATAAACTACTAAATGTATATTGGGACACTTCTACAAGTTGTGTGAATATCATGGTATGCTAACACAGTGGCATCTTTAGTTTAAAACAATTATCTTTTGGCTTTATGTAATTTAATTTATCTTAATGCTCCAGGCTTCTTCTATCTCATTAGAAAGCTCACTAATGCTGGTTATCCTTGTAAAAATAATTTATTAAAAAAGAATTAACAGGGAATCCCCGGAAGTCCCGTGGTTAAGACTTGGCACTTTCACTGCTGTGGGCTAGGGTTGGATCCCTGGTTGGGGAACTAAGATCCCAGAAGCCATGCAGCATGGCCAAAAAGAAAACAAAATTAATAAAAAAATTGATAAATACTCCACGCTGCCCATATGAGACTACAGCCTATTTTCAAGAAGAGATAGATCAGTTTTTTGGTGTAGTCCAACTGTCCATCAATGAGGGTTGATTAGAAACAATCACCTTTCACAGAGAAAATAGTGGTGACCTGTCAAATAGGTTGTGCATCGAAAACAAATGTATTCACTACTAAAAAATTCAATTTAGTATACTGATACCATTTTAATCAGAGGTTAAAGTTAAATGCTGGATTTTTAAGATGCTCATAGAAATGATTCTCTTAACTTTGTGTCATGCTAGGTTTTTTTCCCTCACTTTTCTGTTTCTGGCCTTATATATCAGATTGCTCTATAATAAGCACCATGTAACCCTCCAAATTGTTTTATTTTATTGTAAATTACTTGAAGCCATCAACTAAAACTCATTTAAATGTAGACATATTTAAAGTGTGATAACATAAAGTTGAAACTAGTTTTCTTCAATTTTCAAACTGTAGATATAAATGTTCTGATGAAGTAGTGAACATCAAGTCAATTTTTGTTTTGGGAAGTTGGCAACTATGTTATTGTACTCACTAAATGTATATGCCTTCAAGAGGATAAATGAACAAATAGCTGTACAACAAAGGTGCTAAAATGCTTTACAGCATACAGCAAAGGAAGAAAGAGTGCAGCGAGGAAGAGAGAAAAGAAGATCCACAGGAGAAGAACCATTAAGAAATTACCTCTTAAGAGTCATTGTGGGAGAATTATTTATACACATCTCTGTTCTTAAATTCTAAGGACATGGTGGAAAACATTTAATGCAAGGTTTTCCCTATTATTTTTAAAGGAATCATTCTTTTTTTTGTTTGTTTGTTGCTATCTTGTTTTTATTGTCAGTCTATGTCCAATTAGTTTGTCAAACAATAGCTGACATGCTTCATTCATTTCCCATTTACTTAAAACTTAGGAAATTATAATTTATATTGAAGTGAATAACCATTCAAGCAAATGGGCATGCTCAATTTTTACACATTTTAGTGACAATAGTGTAAGTTTACATATATTCATTATTTTAAATAAACTAAACATATCTTTGGAATTTCTTCCCTTGGTTTCAGGGTTAAATTGTCTAAATGAAAATAAGAAGATATTTTTAAATATATGCCCATAGTTATTTGTTGGATTATATATTGTTTAGTCTATTTCATGTATGGATTCATTGCTGATTCAAATTGAAGGGAAAATAGAATTGCTTCTTCAGTCTCTTTTTTTTTAATGTTCTAGTCCACTTCTAAATATATTGTAACATTAATTGCCATTCAGCACTTGATTTCTCCTGTATAAGGTCCACACTGGAGATTTTTAGAAAGTAATAAAATACATGCTATTTTGGTTCATGAGGTATGTTTTGTTTTGTGAAAAATATTATTTGTGTAAGTCTTAAAAACAGAAACATCGGGCTTCCCTGGTGGCGCAGTGGTTGAGAGTCCATCTGCGGATGCAGGGGACACGGGTTCGTGCCCCGGTCTGGGAAGATCCCACGTGCTGCGGAGTGGCTGGGCCCGTGAGCCATGGCCACTGAGCCTGCGCATCCGGAGCCTGTACTCCAAAATGGGAGAGACCACAACAGTGAGAGGCCCGTGTACCACAAAAAAAAAAAAGAAACATTATTTTTTGAGTTTATGCTAATTTTTACCCATAAAAGTAGTATCCTGTTATATTTAATCATATTAATTTCATATTTAAAATAACTGTGGCAGGATAATTTCTTTAAATATTAATTTGTATTTTGTTTCCATTTCAAGAATTTAGCAAAATCTTTGTTTCCTACCCTCAGCCATTTGCTGATGGCTATGCTTTGAGAATTACACTGGCTGAGATCTCAGAATTTGTGGAACTTGTTTATCAAAGGGAAGAAGGGGTCCCAAAGAATAGAAGAGAGAGAAAGAACCATACTGTAGAAGACTTTGAACTTTCCTCAAAGCAGAGGCGGTGACAGGGGATGGAATAGTGAGACCAGACATTATTTGAACATAGTGTCCCAGATTAAAATGTGGCTGTGGGATGCCCAATTAGGTAGTAGGAATACTGTAAGAGGGGTATTTCTGAAAATGGTTGGAACAGAAGCTCCTCAGAGACAGGCAGCAAGAATCAGCACTGGAGAGCAGCACCACTTTATACTCTCACCAATGCAGACGCATGACCACTTCTTTTACTCCCAAACTTATACCAACCTTGATAAGGATATCTTAGGAGTTTTATGACTTGTTGGATTTTCCTAGATTCAAGGATATTTGTGATTTATTGAAGGACATCATTCTAGATACAAGATCAATAGAAATGCCATAAAGTTCACTATCAGCGTCTTAGGAAGACCATGTGGTAATGTTGTCCAGAAGCATTTAACTTGAGTGCAAAGTTTTTGAGCTGACATTTTCCACCAATTATTCTGTACAATGGGCTCCCAGTTTACTCTACAACTTTGGTGTCCTTCACAGAGTGCCTCACACAAGGCTATGTGTAACCATCTGCCATTCATTCATATCTGATAAGTTATTT